AGCCTAAGCCTCGGCCTAAGACTAAGCCTATGTCTAAGCTTCAGCTTCAGTCTAAGCCTAAGCCTAATCTTAACCCTAACTCCAACGACGTCGCGGTACTGGCGTAACATCCATCCCTTAAAACTAGTACTTCCAAGTTAATTTGAATATTTTTGATATTTTAATATACATAAATTTCCATTAAAGGCCTCTACGTGGTCATCTGTGTCGGATTAACCGCCCTGGCATCAGTCGTCGTAGTCGCATTCTGCCAGGCCAGATCCGAGATGGAAAAATCCGCAAAAATCTGCGATACCCCCATCGACACTTATTTGTAAGAAAGTTTCATATGACAATTGTAACGTTAATCAAACCCAGGGCCCGCCTCACCGAATTCGGACGCCGGAAACGACACGTCATCTTCCAAATCCTCTTCCAAATCGTCAATTTTGTCTCTTTTATCGTGCTGCTATCATTCTGGAAAACCGAATAAACTTTCAAAAATAGATGCGGCTTCTCATGCGGTGGCTGGAGGCGTGATTTTGGAGGGCCATTTCACAAGGTCCCCGAAAGGACCAGCGGGCTCTCGGGCCAGCTAACAAACAGCTCCACCCCTCAGTTCTGGAGGATCCGGATTGCTCCCCCCAAAGCTCTCCATACCGACAGCCAAATTTGTCCTAGCAATCCGAGCACGGCTAAATGACCCCGATGTTCCTACTTACGGTTTGTGGACTTCTTTTAGGAAATAAATTAATTTTTAAATTAGCTGCTAGCGATTGAGGGGGCGGTTGGGATGGAGATATGCGAATATTGGAATCTGCAAAATCGTCTTCATGAACATCCGGAATGTATGGAGGTTATTCCGAAAGAAGCATTGGTAGGTACCAAGTTTTTTTTTCATCGCCTCCTTTGCGTAAGTAGGTGTCGACGTCCTGGGGTACTGGACTGTTAGCGGGGGGCAACTATTAGCAGCGGGGAAACGAATTTTTCCACCAAACTTGTACGGTCCTATAAGAAAATCGAAACCATTTCATAGCATCATAAAAATGATCAAAAGGTCTTCTCTGGATTTTGAAAATTCTTGATGTATTTTTGCACATTCTAGCAATCGAAAACCACGAAAATCAACAGGTAGGCACAGACAAAAAACCAAAATTAGTCCCCCCGCTAACAGAACAGTATTCATCGTAATCCCTGAACCTGCGTCAAATATCAAAACTAGGAAAAATCATTACAATTCCAGGCTTCACCCCACGATCCAATACCGTTAAAGGAATTTACCCGAAAGTCGCATCGTCCCGCAAAAAAATTGGAACTTCGAGGTAAGAACCTATTATTTAATTTTTGCTACTCGTTCTTAGGTGCTTGTGTGGAAAAAGAGGTATGGGCCTGTCGTGACTGTGAACCGACGTGTAATAACCAAGCGCCGCTTTGCGATCGGGTAAGTGAAATTAAATTGCGTTTGAAAAATTACGGTAAAAATCTGATATATTTAATCGGAACTTTTAAGACGCAATGCCTGAAGGGATGTGTATGCCGGATGGGACTTGTCCGCGATGCCCGTGGCCAATGTGTGTCCCAACGGGAGTGTCGGGTCCATCGGAAACCACAGCATTCCCCTAGTGAAAATGCTTCAGCTGCCGCTTCGTTCAATCAGGCTGTTATCACGAGTTTGTCGTTTTGTAAAACTGGAGAAAGTAATATTAAGGAATTTAAGGAATTTTTCTAAGGTTTCATCGGTGTTAGGTTATTTGAGGCTTGCTCAGGCTTAGGCTTAGGCTTGGGCTTAGGCTTGGGCTTAAGCTTGGCTTGGCTTAGGCCTTGGCTTTGACACACATTTCAAACTTCCAGAACTTCGCTCCTGGCTGCCGATGGTGAACAACGTCTGGAAGGAGCTGATGAATCGGAGCTTTTTCTGAGCAGCTGCACGTTTTTATATTTATTTTTCAACTAATAAACCGTGGAACGAAGGGGCCGATCGGCCCCTCTTCCGCTCCATCCCAAATCGGGGGGAATAGCACTTGAGACGAGTGTTCTGGCTAAAGCTTTAAAGGCGGCCTCCCAGGAACGGCCCGCACTATTGTTGACTTTTTTGTTCCTTCACCGTCTTTTGTGAAAATTTGAAAACGTCATTATTATATAAATTATATAAAATTATATTATTTAAAGTTACCAGATCCTGGAAAACTAAAAATAAACTTACGTGATTTATTGCCATTTTTAGGTATCGCGCTTCTACGGGTCACGAAGATAAACCAAACAGCATTAAATGTTTTGAATAAATTAGTCGAATTTTTGTTGATTTTGAGCATTTGTGTTTATTAATTTCACAAGAAAGCAAAAAAAGAGGGAACGATCGAGTGAGAGAGAATGGGTGAGACAGAGAGAGATCGAGAAAGAGAGATCGGGAAAGAGAGAGAGAGATAGAGAGAGATATCGGGAAAGAGAGAGTGGGAGAGAGAGAGAGTGGGAGGGCCGAGAGAGAGGGAGAGAGAGGGAGAGAAATCGAGAAGGAAAGAGATCGGGAAAGAGAGAGAGGGATAGAGAGAGTGGGTGAGAAGAGAGACATTGAGAAAGAGAGAGATCGAGCAAGAGAGAGAGGGAAAGAGAGAGAGAGAGAGAGAGAGAGAGAGAGAGAGAGGAGAGAGCGAGCGAGATAGTCAATGAGAGAGAGAGAGAGAGAAATAGAGAGATATCGACACTGACAGACGGATTTCAATTAGTCCTTTAAAAATCTAAAAAGTAACGCCCGCTCAGGCAACCCAACCCCGGTGATTCGAGCATTGAGATCGATATGGGACTGGCCTGCCGGGGTTTGTGTCTTCTCGCCTCTTCTTTTCTTTCTCCTTCCCCCGTCCTGCCCTTCTCAGAATATTTGCTTAACCTAGCGACCAGCCGGACAACGCCCAATTGGCCCCCACCGGCTTTGCCATAGCCAATAAGCCGTAGAGGATGCTTTTCTATTTTTATTTTTCAATATTTTGTTATATTAAGGCATAATGCCATTAAAATAACTTTATTAATTTTATAATCTCGTTTATTCCATAGTTCCAGCGTTGAACACCATCCTCATTTAGTCCACAGTTAGAAACGACGTACTCGTGCTCAAAAATTTCTGCGGATGCGTTGGGCGCGTGAGCGTTGGCTGACGTGGTCTCACACCATTTCCGGACGATTTTTGGCCCGTATCGGGCTTTTGATCGCTGTGCTTTACATTGTAATACTCTACACGTTTCCCTTCTTCAGCACCCCGACGCTTTCCGTCGAATTCAAGCATTTTCAGGTAAGTTCTTGGGCTAAAAAAATAAAAATTTAATGAATTTAGCAACTCCAAACGAAGGAATCGAAGCAATCTGATTGTCGTGTACCCCATCCAGACCCATGGGATCCCTCTATACTAAAATATTATGAAAAACAAGTTCCATTAACCTGTTCGGCCGTTCAACCGAATCTCACACCGCTTCGAGATGGTAAAATCATTGTGAGTTCCCAGAATAAGCCAAGTCAAGCCTAAACCTAAGCCTAACTAGGGAGGTATCTGAACTCGGCATCGAACTTTGAAAAGTCAGATACACCATTCGACGCGCCTTGTCGAGGGATTCCCAAATATGTAATTAAAATCAACCTCCAGAGCCTATTTTGGTAACGATAAAAGTTATGAGCCATTTAAGTTTTGCAGCAAAATAATCCGCGGCGATATGAGCCCTCCCAGTCCACTCCTCTTCACTGCCCCGTGGTCTAGTGGTGTGCGCATGGGCGTCCGGTCTGTATCGACCAGGGTTCGGATCCACCCCCGATTTTTATTTTTCGCCTTTTGACCAGCCCCTACTTTTGCATTTCCAAACCTGGGAATAAGTTTTTCTTGACCTGTGACCCTAAAAGGCACCAAGCGATGATGAAAAAACCTCGGGCACCAAGACCAGGATTGGACGCTCTCTAGATCAAAGTTGGCAAAATTATCAAAACCGCCCTTTTAAGACTCCGTATGTATTCGAAGAATGTAATTTGTCGAAAATAGAACAGTACATCTCTGATCAGCAGAAAATTCTCTTCTTCGAATGAGCTATCTGACATAGGCTTTACGCGAAATTCTCGAAACGCCTTCGGGCAAGCTGGCCATATCCTACCCTTGACGCTGCATTCCAAAAATATTTTCATTACGAAAATTTTTGGTAAACGTAATGTGGCAACATAGCTCATTTGAAAGAGCCTTCTTTGTTGAATAAAGAGCACTTAACTCCTTTAGACTAAATTCCTTACCGCGGGTTGATACAGGGTCTCAAAGATACTGTTTTTCACCATTTCTGTCGATTTAAAATGCTCACAACTTTTTAGATGGTTATACCTCTCTGGGTTGATTTTATTACATATTTGGAATCCTCGACAAGGGCGCGTCGAATGGTGTATCTGGCTTTTCAAAGTTCGATGCCGAGTTCAGATACCTC